TAAATTATAAATATCTAAATAAAGTTCTCCTTAAAAGTAGGTAATAACCTAGAAGTCTAAGTCACCTTATATAGTTATATCATTTCAATACTACCCAAAACTGGGCGTATCTCTACCAGACATCTGATTAAATATGAGTTAGGAATACTGAACAAGTTTCAGGCAGGGGGCAAGTCTGATTACAAGGCATAATGAATATAAAAAGCATTTATAACTCCATTTTGCATTTTCTACATTTCTTTTATTTTCCAGATTTCAAATTTAAAATTTTCTAATGGTTGAAGTTACTTCCTTTAACAGAAAACTTTGAAAATTGCTATGACTTAATTGGTTCACATTAAAGACTCTTAGAAGCCTAAAGAAAACGTCTTTCCAGATGAGCAAGAGGTTGGATAAATGTAATGACATATGGTTTGTTTTTTATAGCTACAATATGCGAGAAATAGTAGCATAACACATGTATTCAATGATATATATGTATTTATACATATAAATATATATTCTGCTTATAAATTATGAGATAAGATTCTTTTGTACAAATGTAATTTTGTTTTCTTTCTCTTTCTTGTTCCCTTTTGGAATAAAAATAACAACTGAAACTTAGAACAATTTTAAACATCTCATTATACTAAGGATCTTGCAAAAGATAAAATCAACGAATGCAAAGCCATGTTGCCACACGGTCCCCAGTACAGACTTGTGAGTGAGCTGTCTGCAGGGTCTCAGAGCCTCAGGGCAGGAAGACTGTCCACTGATCTTATTATGAAATCTCCCCTCCCCCTGCAGGCTTCCTGAGAATCATTCCAGATGGATGGGTCATGAACTGATTCTTAGTATCTCTCAGGAAGGGTATTTCTCACATCCTCTGGCAAACTCAGAACTTCCCCTGGAAGTTTTTCTTTTATTCCCCTTGCATCCCTGAGCTAGTCAATCATCCATAGAGCTGTGAAGGACGTCTGATTATTAAGTTTTATGTCCTCCATTTCTGAATTTTCAAGGTTCCTGTTTAAGTGATGACTTTTTTATCTCTAAAGCTAGATGAGCATCTCAATTGATGAGCATCTCATCTCAAACATTTCCCTCAAATGCTGTTCTTATTTTTTCACATTTTTTTTAACCTTTTGAAGGTTTACAACTATTTTCAGAAAGCCCTTATTTTGTTTTGTTTTGTTTTTTTGGTGCCAAGGATCAAACTTGGGACCTTGCGGTCGCAAGGCAGGCGGCAGAGCCACTGAGCTAAATCCCCCAGAAAGCCCTTATTTTGGAGGAGTGTGTCCTAACTTTAAAAAAGCAGAGCATATTGAGAGTACCTTCAAGAATTAAAAAATTGGACTGGGGATTTAGCTCAGTGGTTTCGCCGCCTGCTGCACAAGCGCAAGGACCCGAGCTCGATCCCCCGTACCAAAACAAACAAACAAACAAGAATTTAAAAATGGACCATAAAAAATGGACCATAAATTCATTGGTCGACTGGTCTCCACTGCAGTTTCCCTAAGAGACCTGAGGTATATCCAGGGATGGGCCTTGAAGAGCCCTGAGAAGAAGTGAGCTGCAGTCCTGACTCTGTCTCCTCCGGTGGTGCCTGTTATCCTTCCCTTCCTTGCATAATTTTCCCATTACCAGGTGCCTGTTCTGTGCTGCCACTCACTGCCAAGCTCCGTAGTCACCATGTGCCTCTGAACTCCACTTACTTTGCCTACCTTCTACTTAGTAAATAAAGGGTCTAACTCCTTAGTTTCCCAAATGATAACTGATTTATTGATGTCCATATGCCATCCCCACAATCATTGTGCTCTAGTTTCACTTTAACTTTTTAGTACAGAAAAGTTAACACATACATAAAGTCAGCAGAATCACACAATAAATCTTGTTTATTCATCAGTCAATTTCAGCAATTATCAATATTACGACCTGCTTGTATTATCTATACTTCCACATGTACTTCATAATCTTTCTCTTAAAGTATTCTTTTTTTCTTTTAGAGAAAAGTTACATAAGTTGAAATCATAAATTTGAGCTTTGCTCTTTTGCAAACTGGATAGATAGTCGGGTAGCATAACCTTTATCAAAATATAGCGTATTTCCACCTCACCATGAAGTTCCCTCCCAGGCAATCCTCTCCTATCCTCTTCAACAAAACAGCCATCGTTCCAAGGGTTTTTTAATCTTAGTTTGGTGTGTTCTTGAACTTAGGTATATGGATTCATATAGTCAGTAGTTGTTTTTGTGTGTCCATCTTTCCTTAGGTAGCATAATGTCCATGTAATTGATCCACACAGGTGCCTGGATCTGTTATTGCTTCATTTTTGTTGTTTTTGAATAGTATTCTATGTTATGAATTTCATACTGCAATTTGCCTATTCTTTCTCATTAATGAGAAGTTCAGTTGTTTTCAGTTTTTAACTATTGCAAATAAAGCTCTTTCAAACATTTTTGTAAGAGTTTTTTTGTATATTTTTCTTAGATAAAATAAATAGGAGTGGAATTGCTAGGTCAAAGAGAAGTTGCACATTTAGCTCTAAAGTTTAACCTTTTTCCAAAGTGATTGTACTGTCACCCCTTTTTAAATTGCAATTTTTTGTTTTGAATACATATTCAACCATATGATCAAAAAATACAATATAACAGATCTATACCATGAATTATTTGCATTCTGTCCCTGTCTATTTCACTTATCCACACTGCATCCTACAGATATCTCTAAGCTGCTGCTATCATGCACAATACTGCAACAAAGGTCTTTGTACCTACAGCATTACATGTATATGTAGGATAAACTTTCAGAACAATCTTTTACCTTATTGGGCTGAGGGACATAGGTACTTTTAACTTTGCTAAATATCATCAAATTACCTTACAAAGTGGTTGGAATATTTTGTACTTTGGTCAGCAAAACATGAGAATTCTCCTTTCCCATACACTTAGCACCAAAGTGCTCTGCAAACCAGAATCTTTGCCATTCTCAAACATTTTGTTCTAAATATCTTGAACAGCCACTGAAAATAAATGTACAACAACTACATACTCCATGGCTTTGTGAGATGATGTCCTAAACAGGATCAGGTATATAATTTGTAGGGTCAAGTGTAAAATAAAAATGTTGAGACTTGTTTTAAAAATTAATAAGCATTTCAAAATGGTAAGAACAGGAGATTAAGGTGATCATTGGGGTCCTTCAAGCATGTGGTTTCATGCAACCATACAGGTTGCAAACCCATGGAGATTGTTCTTGGTCTTAAGTATCATAAAGAACACAAAAAATTTTGAATAATAACTTATTTTATCATAATTATCGATGTAAACATTTTCCTTTTATTCATATAATAATTATGTTTTGTATTACTTATATCAAGACAAACTGACATGTCAGGAAGGCAGATCAAAGTTATTATGGGGCAATACCTCTTGCCAACCACAGTATTCCCATGCTGCCTGATGAAAGAATTCTAGCCAAAACCTCTAAGAAGTTCTCTGCTTCCAGACAAGCTTTCTAACACTGGACATATAAACACAGGGCCACCACTTTTCCTGCCTCACATCTAAATAAGTGAATAACTGCAATGATGGGAATTGAGGGCCAAGTCAAAGCTGATGTTAATACAGTTGTTGGAAAATATGCACATCTTGATTTCATTTCATGTTGTCTGAGTTTCTTACATCATAATCTGCACTAAGAAGTTGATTCACCCCTCCTAGGAAGGAATGCAGAGCACTGTACCCTGGGATTCTTAATACTTCTGCATTCTCAGAATGCGGTCATCATGATATTAGGGGGACATTAGGTATTATGGTATTAGGGGACCATAATTGGTGTTAGTGGGCTGGAGATGAATTTAGAGAAAGTTTCCTGAAAGAAGTTGCAACAGTTACTTCTAAAATAGTAGAAAGCAGGTAGGGTGGAGGGGAAAAGAAATGTTTTGTGACAAAATATTGAGTAATGGTATTTACAGAGAGGCTGGTACTGTGGTAAAGGCTCTGTATAGAACATTTCCAGGACTCCCTGCTTTAGGGGTGCATCACAAACAGGTACTATCTAAACATAAAGGAAAGGGAATGCGGGAGAAGATCACATCAAATAGACAACAGAAGAAAACAGAATTGAATCTGCCCAAACATTTAATAAAATATAGTTACTATGCTTATGAAAAACAAAAAATGTCAGTCATATTAAACCAATCTATACTTTCTTGCCTTTATTGCTTTGGTGTTAATCCAGAGGGGACCTCAGGCTGGTCACCTTTCTGTGCTCTTTCACCCCCTCTGCTGGTAATGCCAAGAAGTAGTCCTCACATCAAGACACCAGCAGCACCATTAAGGAGATGAGAGGTAGATGCTTCAAGCATCTGTGCTTCTCACTTTAATATGGATATACATTTCTGGGAGTTTTGTTAATATGCAAGTTCTAATTCAGCAAGTATAGGCTGTGACATGAGAGTCTGCAATTTTAGCAAGCTCCCAGGTAATGCTGGACCTTGGACCACACTTTGAATACTTTCATACCATCAACAATAACCAACACAAAAATCCCTCAGTGAGACCTTCCAGTCTGACACGAATCTGGTATCTGAAGCCTTTATGAAGCTGTATATCCAATAGTTGGTCTAATTCACAAATTAAAGAGTTTAAAACTTCATTTGGAATACTTCTGCAGTTACCTCAATGATCTACTTCCACATATGTCATAACCACTCAGTGAACTACATTAGAATACTGGAATCTAGTTAGGAAATGTTGGATAATTTTGTTATATGGAATGAGATTGTATTTTAAATGGGACAATGGACCACCCTTCTAGTTTTGCCAAATCAGTAGCAGAGCCACAAAGAGAATATGTGACTTGATGAAGGTCACACAACTTGTGCATAGCAGCAGGAGTAAAACTACTTATGCTGACAAGAGCCCTCACACTGTCTGTCCAAATTATTTTCCAGTATTTATATTTTAATTCCCCACAAGAATAACACAAGTTTATTTCAAGGAGGAGTGGTGAGAGGATTCCTAATAAGTAAGTATTTAATAAATGATTTGTTATTTGCCTAGAAGAATGAATGAATTCAGGTGAATTCATCATGGATAAGTAGCAAAGTGAAGGACATCTAAGACCTTAAAATGACACCATGCTCTTCAGAGTCAAATTTCGCTTTAGAGAATGGAAGTGATTTTCATGCCTGACAGAGATTAAAATGTGAATTTCCAAGCTGCCCTTTCCATTCCCAACACCTCCACCAGCAAACAAAACAAAACAAAACAAAATGCATAAGAATAAATAAAAAGTTCCGGGTCTTTGAGGTCCCATCCAATATAAGCATAGAATGTAGATGAGCAAAGTGAGTGGGCGAGTGAAATCATTTGCGACAAAAACCCATTATTTACAGATGAGCAATTTATATTGTCAGCATAATATCTGTGGGGCTAAACAGAGCTGGAGAGCATATAAAAGCAGAGCGTTTGAGTGCAGAAGTGCAGAGCTCAGGGCACAGAGCACACCTGAAGTCCCACAGTGGGCTGGCCAGCGCTCCACCTGTCCTACACCGCTCGCTAAAATCAGAAGGTAAGATTAACATTGGAGATTAGAACCGCAAAGCCTGTTTGGGGGACAGCGAAGTACTTTTAAGTATTATAAATTAAGGGATCGCTCCTTCATTCTTTACTTTATCACTAATAATATATTCAGGACAGAGTTGAGATGCAAAAGTATTAAACATATTTATACCTACTTTAACAGAATGAAGTGACCAAGTAATTCAGAGCAATACAATTCAAACATATAATTACATACAATTCAATACAAACATATAAAATAGAAGGAAAAACAGAGATTCACATCACTGCATTTGTTACAAGACTTATCCATTATGAGAGCTGCGTGTTTAAATAAGTAGAAACATTCTGAACAATGAATATTTTTTCTTGGATTTGATAGATGTGTATACTACTTTGAACAGAAGGCGCCTTTTGTAATCAGCAGAAATGTGTCCATTATAGAAGATATAACAGTAATTTTTTTCTTATCAGTTAAAACTTCTGTTTTTAAAGATGAAGTTACTATCTTTCACATATTCTAATTTCTGATAAGGCTAACCAAAAGTCAAAGTCCATGAAATCAGCTTTTTGTAAATAAGCTATCTCATACTTGGTGTAGAGAAGAAATATCATTGGTTACCAGGGGTTTCTTTAGAATGATCTGAGTAATACTAGAAATTAATAATTAATTTCTATGTATTGAAGACCAGTAGGAATAAATAAAATTCAAAGTAGCTATACTCTGGAATGAAATTTTATTACATCTCTCTATAAAAATATTAGCTATTCTAAAGTATTTATTGAAGTTCCTAAAGAAAAAAACCACATTTACAAAGATCTGTATGGTGTAGGGGATTAAGTGGTGAATTGTTCAATACAACAAACCTATTATGAAATGAGCTAACCAATTTTTAAAGTATTTATGTAGCCTACATCACCAATATACTTAGAGATATAAGGTCTTCTTTCCTAGGTTTAAGATTAATCTTTCTAAAAGACTTCCTGCACTAGCAATTACCACCATTACCATATTTTCCTTTTAAATGTGAATAAAAATTTGCAGTTCTTATTAAACAACATACTCCTTTCTTTGGCTATTAAAAAAGGAGAAAGGAATAGGAAATTCTTTTCTTATTGAATAAAATTGTGATACTAAACTAATATAAATATTTACTTCCTCAGCAATGAGACTCAAACAATGAATTTACTCAAAAGTGAATATGTGAGATTTTTTAAAAGTCAATTCTTTATCATTAGATTGTACTGGAAGACTTTGAATAATCTCTTCTTTTTGGTTGTTTCTTCCCCTATCATATCCCAAAGTGGCAGACTACCACTTGCTCTACATCTGTCCCAATATAACCCAAGACACTGCAAAAGTTTTACGGACTTTGGGTAAAGAAACAATTTGGAAATAAAATCACAGTTCTCAGTCTTTTATCAGAAACTTTCCAAAAGTATAATTCTAAAAAGCAGGGCTGGTTTAATTTTTAAATATTCCTAAAAGATATTATGACTAAGAATTATAATCAGAAGACACTACCCCAATATATGGCTTCTACAACTTGCCAACTGGTTAAACAGAAGGATAACAAAATGCCCAGTTAGTCATTTAATGTTGGTGAACAAGAAGGGTGAATGTATAATTCCCTTTATGTTGCTTGTCTAATTGGCAACTTAATCTACAAGCCCTGAAAATCTCAAAGTAAAATTACCACTGAAGGTATTACACTTTCTATTTTTCAGTGCCAGAGAAAGATAGTAAATATGGCTAGGATGTTAAAGAAAAGATTGATAGTTTAAAATGATAATATTTATAAAATCCTTATTTCAAACCAAATGTCATTTGCTAAAAATACTCATTCAAATTATTTATGGATAAACATAAGGAAACTTGGGTTGAAATCCCCATTTCTCAAAAAGTAAAAGAAAAGAAAAAAGCGATGATAGAGTTTGAAAGCAGCAGAGAGGTGTCCATGACGAAGACTGGACTTGTGGTCTCCATTCAGAATGTTGTGGCTCTTGCTCTCTGGGACACTCTGCCCACATTTGTGTCGGTCTCCAGCTCAACCACACTGCACCGTTACATCTTTGGAATCTTATGGCTTCGCAGGGCATTTGCTTTTGACAGAAGACAGGAAATCAGATGTACCCTAAAACTAGATCAATGGTATCACTAAGTGAAAGTGTCATGTCCAACTTAAAAAAAGAAAAAAAAAACATAGGGACTTCAGAGACTTCAGAAGCAAGCACTAATTTTCTTTATGATACTAATCTCTTAAATCTTAGTTGTGATTGTTCAAGTTGCCAGAAGCATTAGTTCTTGTTGCAAATTGCTTGTCTTTAAAATGATTTTTCCCTTTAATTTAGAACAGGTCAAAGCACCCTAAAATACCTCAAATCTGTTGGCCGCTTTATAATTACAAAGTCTAGACCAAGTTACACTATTTAAAATATAAATGAATAATACATCTGAACCGACAGCTGGTATGCCAAGTTGTAGCCTGAGGCTGCTTTAAGATGGTTGAAATGCAGTATAATGTAAATGCTTGGAAGTGAAGGACTATTAATTGAAAGCCAGACTGATAGTGAAGGGGGTGGCATTATGGATAAGGTGCCATTCAGGCTAACCATATGTAGCATATCATCTACAGTGGATATTTTAAATGTTTATTGTGGACATTTTTTATTTCAAGTTTGGAAATGTGCCTTCTGATCATTAACAGAAGTGTCCTGCATTAATGAAAAAGCTTAATGGTGCAAGGCATCTTTTGTATTCTTTTTTGCCTCCAAAAAATCTAGGGAAAATATTATCTACTATTTGAAATTAAATTGAAAATATAATTGTAATAAAATTGAAAAGATTATTTTTTTCTTTCTTTTCCTAATGTTTACCTTGTCAAAATCAAACTCACTTAGCCTGACATGTTTAAATATGGTTATTTGTCCCCCCAACCCCCACTCTGTGTTCTGACAGGGAGCAAAAATGAAGAGCATTTACTTTGTGGTTGGATTGTTTATAATGTTGGTACAAGGCAGCTGGCAGCGTTCCCTTCAAGACACGGAGGAGAAACACAGGTATTAAATCTAGACTGAAACTAACATAGCACTATGATTAGAATAAAGCCTATGAGAACCGTGATTAGTGAATAGGGTCTCAATAATACGGAGTGAGTACCCTGCACAATTTTCAAATGTTTAAAGCATAACTGTGATAAAGTCAGGCTTTTCAAGAGTATAAACCAGAGTATGTGTTATTTCAGAATCAAAGGGGTGGTGGACAATGCTGAAAAACATGTTACATGGAAAATTATAGCTCTGCAGAATATCCTACCTATCCATTCATAACTTACACACTGCATAGGTTATTTTAATTATTCTATCTTCTTTTCATTCCTTTTAAAAATAACAATGTTCCTTGCTAATTGTTAAATTCATACATGTTCATGATGTAAAATATGAAAAACATACAAAAAAGTAACTAGCCAAAATTCCACTATCAAACTATTTAAAGTTTTTAAAAAAATGTATTGCCTTCCTGAATTTTACATTATTGTAAATAAAATCTCTCAGCTTATTAAATGGCCTTGTATCATGCTTTTTCTCTTAATGCTGTATTGTTATTTTTTCTATCATTAGAATATATTTTAAATATATATTTTACAGTTGTATAATATTTCATCTCAAATGTACAACATTTATTTAGTATTCCTCTTCCATAGAATATTTAAGAGGCCTTCAAATTTTCCTATATAAAATAATATTTTGTATATACTACTACCTGCACTTTTCAATTTTCTGTGTGTAGATTTTTGACAGTAGAATTACCATGTCAAACAGTTAGAGATTCATTACTCTTTTAAAATATTCAAGTCACTGCTCTCTTCTGTCATTATTGGCATATTCATGAGTAGATTAATTAGTTGAGGAATATTTAATCCTATTTCAGAAAAAAATGAAGCCAACTGAGAAACCTATTACTAGAATTCAGAGTAAAAGTATATTCAACTATACTAAAACCTTGGGGCTTCCATGAGAAGCTAAGATCTTGCTAAATTAGTAACTGAAATACCTGTCTTATTACTTCACATGATCTTATATTTCATAGTGAAACTTCTCAAATAAGTCTACCTTTGGAGAGATTTATGTTGCACCAATCACTGTTTTCCACAGATCTTTCTCAGCTTCCCAGACAGACCTGCTTGATGATCCAGATCAGATGAATGAAGACAAACGCCATTCACAGGGGACATTCACCAGTGACTATAGCAAGTATCTGGATTCCAGGCGTGCTCAAGATTTTGTTCAGTGGCTGATGAATACCAAGAGGAACAGGTAAGAATTTAAACATGCTCCAAAAATTGTACAAAACTTTACTACATACATTTAAAATTTTGCCTGGCTTTCTTAAATTATCACGTTCATCACGTAAAGTCCATAAGGTATTTGATGATTTTCAGGGTTTAGGATGTGGTCTTTTGTATTATTTCTCTCAATACCTCACCTTTCACCCCTCCAAACACCTTGCCCACACCCCAGTGTGACATAGACTTTACTTTCCCAATTATATTCCAAACTGTAGTCTTAAAAATATTTATTTTCATCCATTTTTCCTTAAAATTGAAAACTGAATTTTGTGGACCCTCAAGGTTAGGAATCTAATTTCTAACTAAAACATACAGCAAATTCAACATTCCTTTATGGGGTTCAAATCCACAACTGTGATGATATTAAAATTATCCCCTAGCCAAGTTCATCAGGGTAAGGAATGGAAATAGATGCATTCCATGTCTTGCAGAATAAAATCCAAGATATGCATTTAAAATCACAGCCTAGCTAGCTGCACGGCATAAAGAGAAGGCAGCAAATAAGAACACAAACCTATCATAAGACATACATTTTAATGTTGGATTTTCTTTGACGAGTGTTGGGGTTTTTGCTGCTTCTCGGCTACTAGAGAAAATTATCCACAAGGGTTTCACAGAGATGGTGGAAATTCACAATTTCTTTGGAGGGTGGCCCATAAGGGGAAAGGAGTTATGCATACAAAATAGCTGAAGGAATCTAAAAATCAGGAAAAGGACATAGATTTGTCTGGATAGAATGGAGAAGGGAGAAAGAAGAAATGCAAGCCTGAGAGAGCACAGGACCAGGCAGGAGAAATATGAAGAAATATGAAGGTCCACCTGCAAGAAAGATGGTATCATAGTCAAAGCAGACATAGGCAGAAATCCTTGACAAGGATTATAGGCGGACCCTCTGGAAAATGTGAGAAATTGCAAATTTATAAAAAAATAAAAACAACCCATCCCATTTTTTAGTATGGGAATGCTGCAACTTGGTACCTTAACATAAAGCAATCCTCACTTGGTATTTGTTATATGTTTAAGATGGAACCTTCTAGGGTAACACTTGCCAGGGAGGCTGACCGCAGATTATGCAACCTCCACAGAGTGCTCTGCACACACTGGTCACCGAAATGAGATGATCTTCATTGCTTTCCTCCTAGAAAATCATACATTTTTTATGTATACATTGTCATGAGAGATTTTTGACATTTCAAGACTGTCCTTTGCTTTTCCTTGAATCAATTAACTGTGACTCCACACTCACAAGTACTAGTAATAAACACCTAGTTTACTTGTGAGTAGCAGAGGAAAATAGAGCCTGCATCTACATCTAGTGAGAATAAATTTAAAAAGTAATGCAGCTTTAAAAACCAAAAGCTTAGGTAAGCAGGGCAGGTGAAAATAGGTATGCTGGGAAAAGAGGGGTGTTTTACTAACTTGGTAAGTGTTCATTATTAACCCTCTCCCACCATTCTTTAATCCAGATTATTAATGTAACTGCAAAATGAATCCCCTGACTACCCTCACCTCCCAAACTTCCGAAGCCCCTTCTACATTATATCCTGAACCCCAGGTTGCCATTGCTTATCAATGTGAACCCAATGCCAACAATACAGATCTTCACTTTTACATTTCTTTCAGGAATAACATTGCCAAACGTCATGATGAATTTGAGAGACATGCTGAAGGGACCTTTACCAGTGATGTAAGCTCTTATTTGGAAGGCCAAGCTGCCAAGGAATTCATTGCTTGGCTGGTGAAAGGCCGAGGAAGGAGAGAGTAAGTCTGTACATTCTTACCTGACGTGTCTTCTTGATGCAAAAAATTTAAATCTAGTTATTTACATATGAATCAGGATTACAAAAGCAATTAGTAAGGAAATAGCTCCTACTGATAAGAAACAATATACAAATTTTGCTAGCAGGAATTAGTAGAGTTTATCACAGTATTTTTCTATCTCCCACTATAGCTGTGTTATAATTAGGTATTGACTCATCCAGATGAGGCACATTTGAAAGTAAATAGTATGCTTTTGATAACTACACTAGGACAACAAATTTCAACTAGACAGTACCAAGAAAGCTAGATATAAGAAAAAAGAATAAATTGTGCTGAAAACATTAAATATTTCTATATTTAAATAAAACTTTTCATACTTAATGTTTGACTTGAAATAGTTGCAAGTGTGATTAACATATAGTCATGTGTTAATAAATATTTGTATAAACATGTGATGAAGACAAGAAAGACCAAACATAAGATGTTAATAGCATTCAAAGTAGACATATGTAAAAACAGTCATATATTAAGCCACATACTCAATTTTTTTTATAGCAGTGTCACATAGATATTCAATAAATAATCAAAGTTGAAAATGAGATTAAGACATTTAGTTACTTACTTGGATCTTAATACAAACAGACCATTCATTCCATTTTATTGTAACCATTCCAATCAGCATTTGTAAATAAAAGGCAAGAAATTTGTGTTCCACTCTGATCATTAAATCAGAATTAAAACAGATGTATTGAGATTTTAAAAGATCTCAATAAAAAATGTGCACTGTGGCTGACTTTTAAAACATTAACCATATTCATAGAATCAATGGTAAAATAGTTGCTTCCACTTGAGGATAATTTTACAGTATTATAAGGAATACCCAAAATTCTACTGAGACAAATCAGTGCAAAACAATATCTAATATAGATTTTCAATTCCTTAATATTGCATTTTGCAATATTGATAATATTGATAATAATGGGTTTATGATATAATATATTTTGTGAAATTGTAGCTAAGTTAATAGTCTCAACATTAACTTCTGTGTATCCAAGATATTAAAGATTTGGAAGAAACCCAGAATATTGCAAAGGACATGAAGTTAAACAAACTTGGTTTCAGATCCCAGCTCTGCAACCTTCTACCCTTGCAACAGTCCCCAGTACACGTGGGTATTTATGTGGGGTTTTCTCTTAGGTGCTCTGTACACAGAATCCTATACTGAATACCCAACAGCCCTTGCACATGTTACCAATGGGAGACAATCCATAAGCATTTACTTAAACTATCTAACCAAATGGTAACTTTCACCCTCATTTTCTTAGCTTCCCAGAAGAAGTCACCATTGTTGAAGAACTCCGTCGCAGACATGCCGACGGCTCTTTTTCAGATGAGATGAACACTGTTCTTGACACTCTTGCCACCAGGGACTTTATCAATTGGCTGATTCAGACCAAAATCACTGACAGGTGAGAGCATTTTTAGTTAATTCTGAAAACCATTAAAGCTTTCATAAATTTTGTCAAATACTACAAGTTATTCTACACATGAAGGAGTGTCTATACTCCCTTGTTATACAATAAAAAGTATGCATGTTTAAATCAGTTGAGTCATTCACATATTAATGTCACTTTAAAACTGCTATATATGCTAAAATTTTAACACAAAGTGACATGTCATTGTATATTACATTATTTACTCAATTTACTAAGCAGAGTTGTAAAAATGAGATACTAATATAACAAATTATTATTGTTGTTTTTTAAAATCATACACAAATCTTTATAATTTTTGATGGGCAAAGTTTAGATGAATCATTTTTGAATGAAAATACATTGAGTACAAAAGACTGGGTGTTTTACTAATAATGGGAATGATGAACAACTTATATCAAAAATCATTGAAATGTTTCCTGGATAAGTTAATTATATTATCTGGTTATTATAATTATATTAAATCATTGTTTTTATTTTTATTTGTAGGAAATAAGTATGTCACTATTCAAGACCATCTTCACATCACCTGCTATCCATTGGAATGTTTGAAATTTAAGTTCTGTAATTGTAAGAGATGTATTCTGAATTTTGCTTTCCATACTAATAAATTTTCTTTTAGCATTGTGTAGCCAAAAGATTGTAAATGGAATAAACTATTGTCAGAATATTGCTAAAATATCAACTTTAAAGTATAAAAGTTCTGTATTCTCTTGTTTTCATCTTATTTTGGTTGAAGTACACCACCTTGTTTACATTTAGCAGTGAAATTATTTTTCTATTATAATTTGTAAATGTAAATTATTCCAATCTGAGCATACCTGCATTCAATTCTAGGGGGAAAAAAAGAACTGGTAGCCACAGTAGTGAAACTGAAAAGGGAACTTCTTGAAGCCTTTGTCAGCTTTCAGTGTATCAAAGGTAGAATTAATAAAATTTTCAAGCTTCTTTACTGTTGTCTGTTTTCTCTCTATACACAGCCTTCCAAATATGCATTCTTCTTAAGCTGTAGCCCACTACTCAAGTCTAATGCACAAATATGTCCCCGTGTTTTGAGCAGCTACACAGTACTTTAATATTTTGAGCTAACATTGAAAAATCAGGGTCTCTTCTATAAAAATACTGATTTTTAGCCTATCTTTAGAAAGCAGGTCACCAAAACTAACTCTCTGGAAACTAGATAGCAGCTTCCACCTTCTAAAGGGATATGTTCTCCCTCTCATGCCTCCTACTCAACACACATGTACACAACACAATCTTTTCATACCCATACACCCTACCTAGATATGTACACATTTAGATACTGATCTCTGGCCCAGTTTACTTATACTCTCACTAGTCTAGCACCAGAAGACACTTGAAATTATTTAAAAATGCCCTCTACTTTGTCATCCCTGTTCTGTGGTGGTCATTTCCTTCAGGACAGACTGATGCTTATCAACATACCCAAGATTTTTCTCTGCTGTGTATAGCATTATCACCTCTATTTCTCTATCTCTAAAGCACTCCTATAAGGTAGACTTGATTAATAGAATTCCAAAGCTTGTAAGTTTCCATACTTTATCAGTAATAAATTTGATATGTTAATTCACTCTCACTCATTTACACAATGATGTGCTTTTCCTGAGCTCAGTGGAAAATTTAAGACTAGAGCTACCTAAGTAAGGCTAGTGCTAGCTGAAGGATCTTGAGCAGGTCATTTAGATTTTTTGGACTTAAGTTCTTCATGTGAAAAATAATCTTAAAATCATGCAAGCAACATCAGATCTTATAAACACCAGTATTTATAACTCTGGGGGTTTTTTTATAATGAGGTTTCAGTAATAATGGGATCCCGAAGTACTCATTCTAAAATGGTCATAGAACATCTCAGTGCAGAAACTGCCTTTGTATAGATCAAGATTATATCTGTCAGCAGAAACTAAACCACCATGTCTTCCACCAAAGCATCTCAAAGAAGAATGTTCACAGGCTACACAACTACTCTCAAAATAGGGTTTCTCTTTGTTCCTCTGCCTTCTTTTTCCTGTAGAAGATGATTGTGTTGATTGTTAAGCTATTCACCAGTAAGATCAAAGAACCATATTTTTCAAAGCTCTGGATGGAGCTCAAGGCAGTTCACTAATGTTCACTATGGCTTCTTTTGTGCAAATTATCTTGCACAACACTTTTCTCACAAGTAAACTAACAAGCCCATCTTGAACTAAAATATGATTTGGAAGCTGAGTGTGTGTGTGTGTGTGTGTGTGTGTGTGTGTGTGTGTGTGTTCTCATGATGCCAGAGTCAAAACCTTGAGAACATCTCTGTGCATAATGTAGTTAGAAAGCAGCCTTCAGAACCACAGGATATTCCCATAGCAAAGAAAGTGGATAGCAAAGGAAGCTGCCACCAGGCTAAAATGAACAAAAGAGAACATAAGAATATGAGTGTGAGCCAGGCCCAGAAAGCTGCCAAAGGTCAAAACCAGAATCAACCCTTAAGATCTAGGAGCAAACAAAAGTATGATAATGGAAAATGAATTAAGAAGCCATTTAAGTGTCAAAATGAAGTTAAATATATTAGATATAATGTTCCACTGTGTGTAAAACATACCCAACCACAGAAACTAAACCAAATATATGGGGGTTTTTTATACAAAACAAGAGGTCCAGAGGAAGGTAGTCCAAGGGCAAATATGTCAAGGATAGCCCAAGGTAGGTCTTTCTTTTTCTGGTCTACCATCATTAACCAGTGGCTTTCTTCCCATGGCTGCCCAGAGATTGAAAGATAGATACTCCATTCCCAGTTTCTGTCTACTTTTTATGGAAGATGAGGTACAAGGGGAATAGAATGAATAGGAAAAGAAAGAGAAAAAAGTGAAAGAAGAAAACAAGAAGAGGACTGACAGGAAGCGAAGGCAACAATTTAGAGAAAGTAAACATTGCCAGGAATCCCCAGAAAATTATCAATTATGTTTTTTTGGCAGAAATGTATCTTATGGTCCATTTTAATTACAAGGGAAGATGAGAAATGCGGTCTTTCACCTAGACATATTGCATTTTATGAAAAACTCTATTAAAAAGGAAAAAGAAAGAGTCAATATTATGTTGGTTATTAAAATCAAAAGGCATATTACCACAGTCAGAGTTGAAATACCCTAGCCTCCTTTTATATCATCTTTGCAGCATAAAGCTCTGTTGATATAATTTAAGGTTAAGTTGATTTACAGAATGCTGGACTTACTATGAATACAGTGGATGAAATACCCAACAAAAACAATATTGGAGACTATTCAGTAGAAGACTGGTACAGACATCCCTTTAATGCTGGTACTAAGATCATGTAATAGGGATAAAGGACCAAAGAAGACAGGGGCAAAGAGTGTATTTTCATAAAACAGCATTATAAAAGTGAGGCTAATTAAAATAAATGAATTTAAATCACATATTAAAGGAAAAATATTATCAGATTAACCAATAATGCAAAATTCAACTATATGTTGTATAGTAAAGGTACACAACACATACAGAAATATTAAAATAATTAAAAATGAAAGCAAATGTAAGTAGAAAAGAAGGCTCTTTTCTTGGCATCAGAAAGAAACTGAAGTTAAGAAAAAAATTAAATAAGGAATAGGACACCTTTAATATGCAAAACATTATGATTATAATGAAGAGTCATATAATGGTTGGTATCCAGACACATATCAACCATTTTTATAATGCTGAAACTCCATGAAATTCAGAGGAAAGTAGAGATACACTAAAAATAGAAAACTTGTAATACTCCTCTCTTAATCCAAGATGGTGTCAGTGAAGCAAAATTTAAGGTACAGAATATCGGTACCCTAATCAATAAAGTTACTCTTATAAATACAAATTGAGCTATGAATTGTGATGAAATTAGAATGTTTTTCAAGAATACATGGGCCATACACAAAAGTCAATCATATATTAAAACATAGAGAAAGATTTTACAGTGCTCACCAGTGAAAATGCAATTAAAAATGAATTAAAACTCATGTTTTAAAAACATTCTTTTCACCTGGACATTAAAATACATGATATTAACCATCGGGTCAAAGTAGAATTACAAAAGAAAAGTTCCAGAAGGTATAAAATAAATAAAAATGAATCTAAATGACATTGCTACAGCATGGCTGCAAGAGAAATTCTTGCCATGAAACATTGGGAAAATATGAAAAAGCATCTTTAAAAATAAATAGATAAAGCATGAATTGTAAAAGCTATGAAAAGACTAAAAGTAATCATAAATAAAGATAAAATTGATAAATTGATAAAGAAGAAGGCAAAAAATAAGGAGATAGAAAATATAAATAGTGCAATTCATGATTAAATAAAATTGCTGTTCTTTTGAAGAGACAATTCAACAGAATAATCAAATTATTGAAAACTTTTCTCTTAAAAGAAAGGAGGAAAGTTATATACTAAAATGAAAAGTAACAAACAAAATAATTATGAAGCCAAAGGATTTTTAAAATTATGAAATTAATTTGAACAACTAAATGTTACTACATTTGAAAACTTAGGTTAAGAAAGTTTATAGGAAAATATAATTGGCTGAAATTGTCCCTAACATATGTGAACAATGTAAAGAGATCATTTTCCACTAAAGAAAAACATAGTTTTGCAAAGATACAAAGAAAGTTCTCCCTGTCACTCAGCTTTGGCAGGATAACTGGGTGTGGCAGCCCAGCCTTCCTCCCCAGTGCCCCACCAGAATAAGAATGCCACCCAAGGAGTGCTGACTTTCCCCACCATAGCTGTGGAGCCTGCATCCAGGAGGGAGGAGATTTTGACATCAGTCATTTAGAAGAAAAGCAATTTTCTCCCCAGGTTCATATTCCTATGCTTGCTTTGCTTTGACAAGAGGATCAAGACTGACTGGTTCTTATTTCCAATGAGAACAAAATTGTGAATGTGCAGAAAAAGGAGAAATGTATCAAGAGTATGGGTCTGCATACCACTGCCCCCAGCACA